TGACACAGTCATGACTCCTTATATGTCTATAACACAGACATGACTCCTTTTCTGTCTATAACACAGACATGACTCCTTATCTATTTATAACACAGACATGACTCCTTATCTATCTATAACTCAGACATGACTCCTTATCTGTCTATAACACAGACAAAACGTCTTATCTATATATGACAAAGACACGAATCCTTATCTGTCTATGACACAGTCATGACTCGTTATCTGTCTATGACACAGCCATGACCCCTTATCTATCTATGACCCAGCCATGACTTCTTATACGTCTGTAACACAGACACGACTTCTTATCTATCTATGTCACAGCCATGACTCCTTATCTATCTATGATACATGTATGACTCCTTATCTATCTATGACACAGCCATGACGCCTTATCTATCTATAACAAAGCCATGACTCCTTATCTATCTATGACACAGCCATGATTCCTTATATGTCAAGACACAAACATGACTCCTTATCTATATGTGACACAACCATGACTCCATATCTGTCAAGACACAGACATGACTCCTTATCTGTATATGACACATCTATGACTCCTTATCTATCTTTGACACAGGCACGACTCCTCGCCTGTCTATAACACAGCCACGACTCCTTATCTGTCTATGACGCAGCCATGACTCTTTATGTATTTATGACACAGCCATGACTCCTTATCTATCTATGACGCAGACATGACTCCTTATATGTATATAACACAGACATGACTCCTTATTTGTCTATGACACATGTATGAGTCCTTATCTATCTATGATACAGCCATTACGCCTTATCTATCTATGACAAAGCCATGACTCCTTATCTATCTATGACACAACCGTGACTCCTTTTCTGTCAAGACACAGACATGACTCCTTATCTGTATATGACAGAACCATGACTCCTTATCTGTCAAGACACAGACATGACTCCTTATCTGTATATGACACAGCTATGACTCCTTATCTATTTATGACACAGCCATGACTCCTTATCTATCTATGACACAGACACGACTTCTCGCCTGTATATAACACAGCTATGACTCCTTATCTATCTATGACACAGCCATGACTCCCTATCTGTCTGTAATACAGCCATGAATCCTTATCTATCTATGACACAGCCATGACTCCTTATCTGTCTATAACTCAGACATGACTCCTTTGATGTCTATAACACAACCAGGACTCCTTAGCTGTCTATGACACAGCTATGACTTCTTAACTGTCTATGACACAGCCATGACTCCTTATCTGTCTGTGACACAGCCATGACTCATTATCTATCTATGACACATCCATGACTTCTTATCTGTCTATGACACAACCATGACTCCTTATATATCTATGACACAGACATGACTCCTTTTCTGTCTATAACACAGACTTGACCAAAGTCTCGACTTCATTCAGTTGACCAAAGTCTTGTGTCTATTTAGTTGACCAAAGTCTTGAGTCTATTCAGTTGACTAAAGTCTTGAGTCCATTCAGTTGACCAAGGTCTCTAGTTCATTCAGTTGACCCAAGTCTTGAGTCAGTTCAGTTGACCATAGTCTCGACTCCATTCATTTGACCAAAGTCTCGAGTGCATTCATCGTCCATTCCTGTGAGAAAGTTGAATGTTCGGAAGGGCCGAATGTAAGACAGGACTGCCTACCCAATTTGTTACTTTTTAAAAATAAAGTTATTTCGTTCGTTTGATCGTTCTCATTGACCATTGTCTACGTATACCTTCGGTAATCATTTACTATTTCTACTAATGTGTTACTCGTTTTCATCTGCCACAGACAAGACCCAGAAATCGACGGGTGGTACCAACGACAAGGCAGACGATTCAAGCAAAGGTGGACTCAGCGGTACGTGTGTGTGTGTGTGTGTGTTTATATTATGTGCTGTTTTCTGGTTCAGAGGTAAGTTAAATCGTTTCACAATGCTATCTCCGTCGTTTATGTAGCTGGATTCCCGCGGTAGACGGTTTAGAAAAAGACCCTTCTTTTAGACAGTGTTTTTTGACTTAGTTCCTGTTGTTGACTCCGTTTCTGTTGTTGACTCCGTTTCTGTTGTTGACTCCGTTTCTGTTGTTGACTCCGTTTCTGTTGTTGACTCAGTTTATGTTGTTGACTCAGTAGCTGTTGTTGACTCCATTTCTGTTGTTGACCCTGTTTCTGTTGTTGACTCAGTTTCTGTTGTTAACTCTGTAGCTGTTGTTGACTCCGTTTCGGTTGTTGACTCAGTTTCTGTTGTTGACTATCCTGTCCCGCATCACTAAGGGTAAAAAGAGAAGCAGTAAAGTTTGTTCGTGTTTCTGCCGATTATCATCATCATGTACCATGCCAACTGCCGTAGGCGCTTATGCGTCCACACAGATCACGATCCCTGGTTGCCTGGAACAGCTCTCTTGATGATATCTCTCCATGCCATCGTTTCAGCCAATAAAGCATCATCTCTCTTGGTCTGCCTCTACCCCTTTTCCCACTGATCTTTCCAGTTGTCACGATGTTCTCTAATGTCTCTCTTCTCATTATGTGGCCAATGAACAGTGTTTGTCTCTTTCTTATTGTTGTTTATAGAAAACTACTTTCAATAGTTTCATTCAAGCAATTATTGTTAGTTACTGGAGCCGTCCAAGGTGTTCGTAACATTCGTCGCAGAAACCACATCTCTGTCCAATCATCAGCATTTAAAATATCATGTTTTTAACACTCTCCGCTTCAAGCTTTCAGTCCTGTTTTGTTTCTATGACTGTTAATTAATAATAATATAAAAAAATGGTAATATAACAGATTAGTTTTAGGAAAACTGCAGTTAATTTCAAAACAGATTGACGCCCCCTTGAGTCGCTGTAGTGTAGCGGCTAGGAGCTCGCCTGCTAATTGGGAGGTCAGAGATTCGGATCCGGACGGAACAGGCTTTTGTCCAGATCGACCAAGCCTTGATTGGATACCAGGTGCAGTCATGGGACGTAAAGGCGGCCGGTGTGATCTTGACCACATCACCCACCAAATGATGGGTCTACAAAATATATATCAATACCTTTATGCCCAATACACCTGAGGGCATGGAAAGAAGTACTTCAATTAACTTTTTAAACTTGACCTCTCTTGAAACTTCCTTGCACCTGCAGATTGAGAACCACTGAATTGAAATGATTATTTCATTTTCGTCTGCTTGCAGGACTGCTCGGTGATTTGTTGGGCGGGAACAAAAACAAGGCAGACGATCTTAGTGGTATGTTTGGGTTTGGATCTTTTTTTTTTACATTGCTGATTGTTCTTTTCTTTGAGTAATATAATGAGGTTAGATTCCGTTTTACATCACTTTCTTTACAATATGTTTCTTTGAATTGAAGAACGGTGAATTGTGTATTATTAGATGAATGATGATCATTAGATATTTTAAAACCTAGTGTTCTCATATGTCCGTGGCACAGCTGTATTTAAAAAAAATATATATACACATATCTAAAACACATCTGCTTATTCTCCCAATTCTACGACACAGGCGGGTTCTCTTATCGTTCTGTGGTGCAACCGTGTTTTATTATAGTTTTATGACAGAGTCAAGTTTGTTCAATAGTTCTGTTTTACAGCCATGTTTTCCTATAGATCCAAGACACAGTCATGTTTTATTTTAGTTCTTTTTTTTTACAGCTAGGTTTTCTGATAATTCTATGACACAACAATGTTTTCTTATCTGTTTGACACAACCATGTTTTCTTATCTATTTGTAACACAGTCATGATTTCCTATCTTTGTATGATACATCAACGACTGCGTTTCTGTTTGAGACACAGCTATGACTTCCTATCTATCTGTGACACAGCTATGACTTCCTATCTATCTGTGACACAGCCATGACTTTCTATCTATCTGTGACACAGCTATGACTTTCTATATATCTGTGACACAGCCATGACTTCCTATCTAGATGTGACACAGCCATGACTTCCTATCTATCTGTGACACAGCCATGACTTCCTATCAATCTGTGACACAGCCATGACTTCTTATCTATCTGTGACACAGCCATGGCTTCTTATCTATTTGTGACACAGCCATGACTTCTTATCTATCTGTGACACAGCCATGACTTCTTATCTATCTGTGGCACAGCCATGACTTCTTATCTGTGACACAGCCATGACTTCTTATCTATCTGTGACAAAGCCATGACTTCTTATCTATCTGTGACACAGCCATGACTTCCTATCTATCTGTGACACAGCCATGACTTCTTATCTATCCGTGGCACAGCCATGACTTCTTATCTGTGACACAGCCATGTCTTCTTATCTCTCTATGACACAGCCATGACGTCTTATCTGTTTATGACGCAGCCATGACTCTTTATCTATCTATGACACAGACATGACTCCTTTTCTGTCTTTAACACAGACTTGACCAAAGTCTCGACTTCATTCAGTTGACCAAAGTCTCGAGTCCATTCAATTGATTAAGGTCTCGAGTCCATTCAGTTGACCAAAGTCTGGAGTGCATTCAATTGAGCAAAGTCTCGTGTCCATTCAGTTGACCAAAGTCTCGACTTCATTCGTCGTCCATTCCTGTGGGAAAGGTGAATGTTCGGAAGGGCCGAATGTAAGACAGGACTGCCTGCCCCAATTTGTTATCTTTTGGAAAAAAAGTTCTTTCGTTCGTTTGTTCGTTCGTTCGTTCGATCGTTCGTTCGTTTGATCATTCTCATCGACCATTAGCTACGTCTAACTTTGGTAATCATTTACTGTTTCTAATAATGTGATTCTTTCACCTGCCACAGACCAGACCCAGAAATCGACGGGCGGTACCAAAGACAAGGCAGACGATCCCAGCAAAGGTGGACTTAGCGGTACGTGTGTGTGTGTGTGTGTGTGTGTGTGTGTGTTTATATTATGTGCTGTTTTCTGGTTCAGAGGTTAGTGAAATCGTTTCACAATGCTATCTCCGTCGTTTATGTAGCTTGATTCCCGCGGTGGGCGGTTTAGAAAAAGACCGTTCATTTAGACAGTGTTTTTGACTTAGTTCCTGTTGTTGACTCCGTTTCTGTTGTTGACTCCGTTTCTGTTGATGACTCAGTTTCTGTTGTTGACTCAGTAGCTGTTGTTGACTCAGTTTTTATTGTTGACTTGTTTTCTGTTGTTGACTCAGTTTCTGTCGTCGACTCAGTTTTGGTTGTTGACTCAGTTTCTGTTGTTGACTCAGTTTCTGTCGTTGACTCAGTTTCTGCTGTTGAATCAGTTTTTGTTGTTGACTCAGTTTCTGTTGTTGATTCAGCTTCTGTTGTTGACTCAGTTTCTGTTGTTGACTCAGTTTCTGTTGTTGACTTAGTTTTTGTTGTTGACTCAGTTTCTGTTGACTCAGTTTCGGTTGTTGGCTCAATTTCTGTTGTTGACTCAGTTTCTGTTGTTGACTCAGTTTCTGTTGTTGACTCAGTTTCTGTTGTTGACTCAGTTTATGTTGTTGACTCAGTTTCTGTTTTTGACTTAGTTTCTGTTATTGACTAAGTTTCTGTTGTTGACTCAGTTTCTGTTGTTATCTCAGTTTCTGTTGTTGACTCAGTTTCATTTGTTGACTCAGTTTCTGTTGTTGACTCAGTTTCTGATGTTGACGAAGTTTCTGTTGTTGACGCAGTATCTAATGTTGACTCAGTTTCTGCTGTTGACTCAGTTTCTGTTATTGACTCAGTTTCGATTGTTGACTTAGTTTCTGTTGTTGACTCAGTTTCTGTTGTTGACTCAGTTTCTGTTGTTGACTCAGTTTCTGTTGTTGACTCAGTTTCTGTTGTTGATTCATTCTATGTTGTTGACTCAGTTTCTGTTGTTGACTCAGATTCTGTTGACTCAGTTTCTGTTGTTGACTCAGTTTCTGTTGACTCAGTTTCTGTTGCTGACTCAGTTTCTGTTGTTGACTCAGTTTCTGTTGTTGACTCAGTTTCTGTTGTTGACTCAGTTTCTGTTGGTGACTTATTTTCTGTTGACTCAGTTTCCTATAAAATCATCAGCCTTAAAAATGAAGAGGCGACTAATCAGATGGGTAGAACGTTAGATTCTCATGCGGGAGACGAGTTCAATTTTCGATAAGGGGTGGAATTTTTTCTTCCGTCGGGAGCAGAATAAAAAAAAAATCTAACCTGCACAGTTGGTGGCGACCTCACTAGCCTCGCGGCCTGAAATCCTCAGGCTCGTGACCACCATGTCTCCCATCACTAATGGTAAAAAGAGAAGCAGTAAAGATTAATCGCGTTTCTGCCGATTATCATCATCATGTACGATGCCAACTGGCGTAGGCGCTCATGCGCCCACACAGGTCACGATCCCTGGTTGTCTGGAACAGCTCTCTTGATGATATCCCTCCATGCCATCGTTTCAGCCCATCCAGCATTGTCTCTCTTGGTCTGCCTCTACCTCTTTGTCCACTGATCTTTCCAGTTGTCACGATGTTCTCCAATGTCTCTCTTCTCATTATGTGGCCAATGAGCAGTGTTTGTCTCTTTCTTATTGTTGTTTATAGAGATGCACTTTCAATAGTTTCTTTCTAGCAATTTTTGTTAGTTACTGTAGCCTCCAGCGGCGTCCGTGGCTAAGGCGTTGCGAGTCCGACTCGTAAGCCAGCATACCGCGATCGAAACCCACTGCAGGCTGTGTGGATTTTTATCGTGGTATGGGACGTCGCAGGTCGACCCAGTCTAAAATGGGTACCAGGATGGGCTGTCCTGGGAAAGTAAAGACAGCCGGCGTAATGCTGACCACATTACCCACAGAGTGCTGATGGTCTGTAAAAATATGGGACGCTCTGCCCATATGCCCGATGCGCCGAAAGGCGTGAAAAGGGAACTTTACTTTTTTTTTTTTTTTACTGTAGCCGTCCAAGGTATTCGTAACATTTGTCTCAGAAACCACATCTCTGTCCAATCCTCAGCATTTAAAATATCATGTTTTCAACACTCTCCGCTTCAAGCTTTCAGTCCTGTTTTGTTTCTATGACTGTTCAATGTTAATTAATAATAATATTAGAAAAAAAAAAAGGTAATATAACAGATTATTTTTAGGAAAACTGCAGTTAATTTCAAAACGGATTGACACCTCCTTGAGTCGCTGTGGTGTAGCGGCTAGGAGCTCGCCTGCTAATCGGGAAGTCGTGGATTCGGGTCCTGACGGAACCGGCTTTTGTCCAGATCGACCCAGCCTTGAGTGGATACCAGGTGCAGTCATGGGACGTAAAGGCGGCCTGCTTGATCTTGACCACATCACCCACCAAGTGATTGGTCTACAAAATATATATATCAATCATTTTATTCCCAATACACCTGAAGACATGGAAAGAAGTCCTTTAATTAACTTTTTAAACTTGACCTCCCTTGAAACTTCCTTGCACCTCCAGGTTAAAAACCACTGAATTAAAATGATTATTTCATTTTCGTCTGCTTGCAGGACTGCTCGGTAATCTGTTGGGCGGGAACAAAAACAAGGCAGACGATCTTAGTGGTATGTTTGGGTTTGGATCTTTTTGTTTACATTGCTGATTGTTCTTTTCTTTGAGTATTATAATGAGGTTAGATTCCGTTTTACACCAGTTTCTTTACAATATGTTTCTTTGAATTGAAGAACGGTGAATTGTGTATTATTAGATGAATGATGATCATTAGATATTTTAAAACCTAGTGTTCTCATATGTCTGTGGCACAGCTGTGTTAAAAAAAAATGTATATACACATATCTAAAACACATCTGCTTATTCTCCCAATTCTACGACATAGGCGGGTTCTTTTATCGTTCTATTTTACAGCCATGTTTTCCTATAGATCTAAGACAAAGTCATGTTTTTTTTTTTAGTTCTTTTTTTTACAGCTAGGTTTTCTGATAGTTCTATGACACAACAATGTTTTCTTATCTATGTTTGACACAACCATGTTTTCTTATCTATTTGTAACACAGCCATGATTCCTTATCTTTGTATGATACATCCACGTCTGCGTTTCTGTTTAAAACACAGCTATGACTCCTTATCTATCTGTGACACAGCCATGACTTCCTATGTGTATACAACACAGCCATGACTTCTTATCTATCTGTGACACAGCCAAGACTTCCTATCTATCTGTGACACAGCCATGACTTCCTATCTATCTGTGACACCGCCATGAGTTCTTATCTATCTGTGACACAGCCATGACTTCTTATCTATCTGTGACACAGCCATGACTTCTTATCTATCTGTGACACAGCCATGACTTCTTGTCTGTCTGTGACACAGCCATGACTTCTTATCTATCTGTCACACAGCCATGACTTCTTATTTATCTGTGACACAGCCATGACTTCTTTTCTATCTGTGACACAGTCATGACTTCGTATCTATCTGTGACACAGCCATGACTTCTTATCTATCTGTGGCACCGCCATGACTTCTTATTTGTCTGTGACACAGCCATGACTTCTTTTCTGTCTATGACAGGGCTATGCCTCCTTATCTATCTGTGACACAGCTATGACTTCTTATCTGTCTCTGACACAGCCATGACTTCTTATCTATCTGTGACACAGCCATGACTTTTTCATTCTAATACAGCCATGTTTTGTTATGTATCTTTTACACAGCAAATTTTGCTTATCTATCTATCTATGACGCAGCCATGTTTTCTTATCTGTGTGTGACACAGCCTGACTTTTATCTATATATGACACATGCCAGACTGCTTTTCTATCTGAGGCGCAGCCATGACTCTTTATCTCTCTTTGACACAGTAACCTTTTCTTATCTATTGGTGACATATCCATTTTCAAAATGTGTGAAACCCACAGTAATATTTATCAGTGATTTATTTTCAACGCAGAGGCACTGTCCAAACTAATTGACAAGTTAAAGGTCAGCGGCATTGATGAGAAGGAAAAGAAAGAACTGTCGGAGAGTAAGAGCAACATTTATGTCATTGTGTCTTTGTCCTAGTAAACTAATGTCTGTTATCTTCTATAAACGGAGCTTTTTTCCCCCCTCCTTTCTTAAACCATTTGGTCCTAGGCAGATCACTCCAGGAACGACGATTCAAAGAGAACACTGGTGGTGTTCGGAAGGGAGGAGGTTGGGGTTTGAAGGTGGCAAGGTACCTAAAGGCCTCCTCCCCTCCAAGTTTCGTCACCCCTGACTGACACTGTGTTTATTAGTAACTTGTCAGTGAAACCAAACAAAGAATGCCATAATGATGATATGAAGAAAGAGACGACTGTCATAAGGAATATGACTTTGGGAGAAGACTGAGCACTGGAGAAACCCGTAGCGTGTAAATGTTGAATGTTGTATTAGGAATCCTCATCACAGCACTCGGGATACTTCCATAAGCGCTCTGGTCCCATCTTCAGCAGTAAGCGAAGAGCTCCAATTCTGATGGCGCCATTAGCATCTGATTGTATATCCGTCTCATCCTTCACCTGAGTGTTAGGCTTCGGCCAGATCCCCTGGTAACTCCTCGCAGCGTCATTCTACCCAGACAGCAATGATCCACCTGCGCCTCGGCACTGTTCCCTCGCTCCTAAAGGGCCCTCACAATATCTAACTTGTCATACATCAGTTCACCACCAAGTGGTGCAGAGCCGACCAGTCTATCTGCCTGCTCATTTCCCAACATACTGGCATGACCTGAAGAAAATATCCGAAGGATGTTAACTACCCGCGACCTCTGAAAGAATGCTTGCCACTCTTCACGAACCCGTAGCGTAGGAAAGAAGTGAATCCCCATGGTGGCGTTCCGGAGAGTCAAGGTTCCCTTTCCACTCTGTCAGCATATTCAACATATAGGGATAGTTAGAAGGCTAGTTGCGTATCCTTTACATGACATTGCAGAACCAACCCCAGCAGCCCTGGCTATTGTGTGGTTTTTCTAGGCAAATTACGTCCAGTAGTTTGCCATTGCTTCCCGGACGGTCGGCTCCCTGATACCACTGTCGAAACCAACACAAGGCGCATGGCCCGCTGCTGGGATCGAACCCGGTACCCCGGCATTACGAAGTGTTCGCATCGACTTGGCCACAGAGCCGACATACAGGGCTAGACGTATGTTTTATAGACACAAATCGTCACTTAGTGGGTGATGTGGTCAACATCACAACGGCCGCCTTTACTTCCAAGGACTGTACCTGGTACCTATTCAAACCTGGTCAACCTAGGGGCCAAGGCCATTTATGAAAAAGGCTTGGCTCCTGTATGACCCGAACCTTCAATATTCCGTTGCTCAGGCGGATGTCTAGCTGCTACATCACGGCGACGCCTTTATAATAATAATAATAATAATAATAATAATAATAATAATAATAATAATAATAGTAATAATATTAATAATTAATAATAATAATTAATAATAATAATTATAATAATAATAACAACAATATTGGGCTAAAATACAACTGAGATAATATGAAATATATAAGATCATTCTTGAAACA